CGTGTGGACACGTAGCGACAATACGTTGTAAACTCTCAGGCAACTCGGGAATCCGAATGGTACATCCCAATCAACGCCATTGTAAACGGTATGCCGTTAGAAACACATGAAAACATGCCGTTTTGGGCCTTTCGAGCTTCGCTTTATATTGCCCCCAACAAACACGGAGAAAAAGTGAAAAAATTCATATATGCAAAAGATGGGAAATATGAAATGAGTAACGTTACCCAGCATTGAGAAACGTGGCTGTCACGGTTGTTAAATGTAATTTTCTGATTCTAGTGATATACAAAGAGCGCAATTTCTACATCAGGCGTATAGAAATCAGAATCTATTAACCAACACGTTGGAAACCGTGCATTATGAAATAACGTTAAATATAGAGTGAAAGTTGCAACGCTGAAGATTCGTGATCGCGATATAACAGATTTAGATAGTGGCTTTTCTCACGCTTCTACTTAAAATAATTTCTAAATCTTAAATAATGTTATAAAATCACGTTTCTTATATTCTGCAATTTAGAACCAAAATCAATTAAAATATTGTAAAATTGTATTTCTGTAATTTCTACAAGAATTTGAGATAAAATTTTGTACGAGAATCTGAGATAAAGTTTTATCACTTTCATTTTTAAATTACAATTATCTAAGAGCGTAAAGTAACGATATAATGGTCGAGCATAATCCATTAACTGTTCCCTTGGCCGCTTTTCTTTCATACCTATCGGTACGGCTGAATGTTTACGCTCACCTATCTTTGTAAGTTTTAAGATAAGATGTCGTCTGTTGATCGATCGTATCGGTAGTATGCCGAAACTTTCCGAATAATAAAGACCGACGACGAACATCGTCGATATTGCAAAGTAAACGTGTTGAAAAATTTCTCTACGTAAGTCCGAACACGAAGCAGTTGAATTTATCGCGGTATAATTTTTCCTTCTTTTTTTTTTTTTGTTAAAAAAGTAAATTACACCGAAATGCATCGACTAAAGTCAACGCGGCGAACATTACATTACATACAAGTCTGAACGAAGCAGACAAAGTTTCCCGACGAAATTTTCTGCCAGTCAATTTACCCTTTGGAAGAGAAAAAGGAAAAAAAAGAAGAAAACGAGTTTTCGGACTTGCGTACCTCCGCTGTGCGGACGCGGATCCGCTGTTCCGCTGTTGAAATACGACGTTAAAATCAACACGCGACGGGATTTATTCCACATACAAATCTGAAGCAGCTAACCTTGTCCATCAAAATTTTCCGTCAGTTAATTTATTCTTTTAGAAAAGGAAAGAAAACGAGAAACCGAGTTTTCTTCGCCGTTGAAATGCGTCGTTGAAGTCAACGCGACGGATATATTACTCCGCAAATCTGCGCACCAAGCAGCTGAATTTGTCCGTCAAAATTTTTCGTCAGTTAATTTACTCTTTAAAAAAAAGAGAACTTCCCGATTTGCGTTTCTTCGTCGTGCGCGCGCGCGCGCGCGCGGATTCGTCGCTGAAATGCGTCGTTGAAGTCAACGCGACGTATATTATATCACATACAAATCTGAGCATAAAACAGTTCAACTTGTCCGTCAAAATTTCCTGTTAATTTATCCGCTAAAAAAAAAAGAAAGAAAAAAAGAACGCGTTTCTGGATTTGCATTATTTTTCGCAGCGCGGACGCGGAAAAGCGCTGAATGCACGGATATTATTCCACATTACAGTTGAGCTTGTCCGTCAAAATTTTTCGTCGGTTAATCTATTCTCTTTGGAAAAAAAATAAAAACAAAAAAAAAAAGAAAAAAGAAAAAAAGAGACCGAGTTTCCGGAATTTGCGCTTCTCCGTCGGCGCGGACGCGGATCCGTCGAAATACGTCGTTTAGAATCAGCGGTGATGTGCTGCGTGGGGTAGAGGTACGGCGATCTTACGCGATGCCGCGCAATAGCATCGCACACCATACCTTGCCGTCGATTGATTCCTCCGCAGAACGCGCAGGAAACCCGCTCGCTCTCGGTCTCTACACCTCGTGCTCGCGAGTCACTGCGTGTATGCGAGTCTGCGACGCGAATCGCATACTTACTATCGTTTATAAAAGCGCGTCGCGTGCCGCGCGGCGATACATCGATCACTTAATTATCGCCCTACGCGACATATTACGTACGCGAATAAAATGTTGCGTAGCGCGATAATTAAGTGATCGATATATGTATATGCGATACGTATATGTACACACATATAGCCGACTACCTATACGATATTGCGGCAAATGCACGCTAACCAGACGGAGGGCGATACCGACGCGAAACTGCGTCGTCGAAGACGTCACACGAAAGTGCCTCGGGGACTTTCATTAGACCCGCTTTCGGAAAAGAACGGGCGTCACGCCTACGCGACCCGCTTCCCCGCTCGCGATGAAAAAATAGACGACGCTGCGCAACAGCCACGTACGGCTAGGCGTATACACGTCATCCCGAATGGATCTCACCTTTGACTTGATGAGAAATTAACATTCGTCGAATGCGCTAGTCGCTGATCGTCGGATTACCTGACCTCGCTACGACATAGGTATCGGTATACGCGGGGCGGATGAATCGAATCGAAGCGTCCGCGTCGTATCGCGTCGCGTCTCGATAGCGTCGCTATCCGAGAGGCTCTCGTTCGGCTCTCGTGAAAATTTCCCCGTTTACGAGCGACTCGCGTACGGCTTCTCCACGCGGGATCGATCTTATCGCGCGAAAGTCGTGTTTGTAAACACGTCGTCGCGGCGAGCACTAGCACGTTTTCCGCGTCGAAGGGAGACAGACGCGCGGCGCGGCATCACAAAACCGACTGCGTCGCACATTTCGTAAAAGTGTCCACAACACAGACACGGGCACAGGCGCGCACACACGGACCTTCGGTCGATCCGTCTTGCCGGACAACACTCGTACACCATCTTCGAATGGTGGTCTAGGAATGTGACCGTTACAGGGGAAGAAAGCGTTCTACGGAGCGAGGGAGACAGAGAGAGACAAGGAGATAGAGAGAGATAGAGAGAGAGAGACGGCGGGAAAGGGAGGAAAAGGGAAGTCGAGGGCGGATCTCACGAGAGACGCTGCGCTTCTTCTCTCACCGCATATTTAGCGACAAACGCGTTCGATTCCCAGCCTACGCTGACATTGACATAATTCTCAATTTACGACAGCGTCGACAATACGGTTGCGAGAGCGCGGCGCGGCGCGGCGGAGTGAAATCGAAGGTAAACAAAGTCGAGTGAAGTCAGTCATTTCATTCATTCGATCAATCAATCGGGCGTGTATACTGTAATACGAACAAATGAACGAACGAGCGAGCGAGAACGGTTGCAGGTAGCGCAATTACAACACCAACCTTTCGATTCCTCTCGCGGCGCATTTAAGCGGGCGTGCGTATATAGGCGTCGGATTTTCACTCGGCGTGACACGCGAACCTCACCACCGTCGGGCGCGCAGAACACTGAGGGATTAGACGGCAAGACGGCGGTGCGTCGTTTCCTGCGCCGAATATAGGGAGGAGAGAAGAACTGTGAAACGGTTGGCGCGCGGCGGAGACGATGCCGCGTCCGCGTCCCACGTGAAACGGACTCGCGTCACTTTCTCGCGCTTCATCCGTCGATCGGTCTTTCCTCGCCCAATCGCGCGAGCACTCTGCGCCGGCGGCGAACGATCAAAACAGAGGAAGGAGGGCGCGCCGCGCCGCGCCGCGCTGCTCCGCATGGCTCCGCGTCGCGTCGCGTCACAGGACTCACGGGGAAGCACCGAGAGGGTTGGTGGGGAGCCGGAGCGGTCGCGCGGGGGAAACGAGCGGAGCGGAGCGAGCGCGCTAGTGAGCGACGGGGACGAGCGGGACGGCGCGGCAGGAAGAGAGAGAGAGAGAGAGAGAGAGAGAGAGAGAGAGAGAG